ACAAGCCATGTAGAAAAAGTAAATCCCAGAAAATGTTGTCTCCATTTTTACCCTCCCTTCCTCAATGGTTCTCAAAGAGTGGTCCCCAGAAGGTAGCATTACGATCACATAGGCACTTGATAGAGATGTAAACTTTTGGTCCTTACCCTCTATGTAGTGAATCAGAAAATAATGAGTGGATCCCTGCGATCTATGTTTTAAGCCAATCAAGAGATTCTGATACACAGTAAAATTAGAGAACCATTGCTCCATGTGAAGACAATTGCACTAGCTTTATTGAAAAACAGATTAACACACATGCATGTATTCATTTATAATAAATTTATATGTATTTAATATTAATTAGTGCATTAGTATTTTGTGGATCCTCCCCATCAAGTTTATACCAATTTTGTTTTGTCAAAAAACCACATTCCTATAGCTACCTTTAAAAGCAAACAAAGGAAAATTAAACAAAAAAAAAGAGGAAAGCATTGAGAGAGAGTGCACAAAGACAAATAAAAGGAAAAAAATCAATAAGCACAGCTAAACATTTTGTGAACTAACAAGCAGCAAGTGTAGATAAGATTCCCTGAGTCAGTCCTTTGTTGATCAGCCCCATTTCTCTACCTTCTGACTCTAGCATTTATGTATGACAAAGCAGCACCAAGACATCACAGAATTTCAAACATTAGTACTCATTAAAAAATAAAAGTAATCAGTAAGCATCCTAGAGTTTCCCAAGGGATTTTAATTACTAAACCCCAAAAGAGATGCAGGACAGACACTTCAGTTGTAGTTAAGAACCAAACACTCACCATCCTGCCCACCCAAAAGAATGGGGTCTTAATAAGAATAAGATCTATCCTATGCTTGTACAATTTTATCAAAATGGATTCGACTGTCATGTATAACTAAGAAGAACCAATAAAATAAAATTTAAAAAAAAAAGAACCAACACTGAGAGCTCACTTGTAGCCTTTGCATTCTTGCAATATGGTTTGAAACCAATTAATTTTGAGGAGCACTTTTCTTTTATGAATAATGAAAATAAGACCCCAAAGAAGAGATCTGTTGTGGTCCACATGATTCAGGCTGAGATCTGAATCGAGGTCTTCCATCACCCAGTCCTGAGCCTTCTCTATGAGACTGCACCCCTTCCACATTGGTAGGACCTCCATTTTTTCTTTCAGTAAATTTAATGACTCAGATACCAGGAAAAGATACACACACACATACACATATATAGATAGGTACATAGATATTTTTTTAACCAAGAATCTCAGTTACCTACCACTCCAGTAAAACTTCTGTTTAAAAAACTATTATATCTTCTGGTAAGAGTTTTCCTTATGCAAATAAGTATATGAACCAGTGATATTTGTGAAATTTCCTTTCTGGGCTTTTTCTTAATATTTATGTAGCAGGGCTCTGTGGTACATGCCTGTGATCCTAGAGGCTTGGGAGCCTGAGGCAGAAGGATCACAAATTAAAAGCCAACTTCAACAACTGAAGAGACCCTAAGCAACTTAGTGAAACCCTGTCTCAAAATTAAAAAATAAAAAGGGCTGGGAATCTGGCTCAGTGGTTGAGCACCCTTGGGTTCAATCCCTGGTACCAAAAAAGGGGAAAAATATATATATATATACACACACACACATATATATAGTATATAATATAATATATATAATATGTATCTGTATTTGCAAGTTTTTCACTTTTCTTCAAAAATCGAAGTTCCAATGGTTAAATGGAGTTGCTTCTTTGATTTCCATCATTAATTAGGTAACTAATCCTATAAAATTAAGGTAAAAGTTGTTTCCAATGTTTTATATTGACAAAGCTTCAGTGATCAATACTATGCTCAAATCTTTGTACTTCTGTTATAATTTCTCTATAGTAAATTACCAAGAATAGAAACACTAAGTCAAAGACATGAGTAATTTCTTTTTCTTTTTTTTTTTTTTAACTTTTATTTATCTTATGTGGGGCTGAGGGTCGAACCCAGTGCCTCATACAAACGAGGCAAGTGTTCCACCACCGAGCCACAACCCCAGCCTCTCTTTTTATTTTTTGGTATTGGGGATTGAACCCAGAGGCGCTTAACTACTGAGCCACATCCCAAGTCCTTTTCTATTTTTTATTTAGAGAAAGTCTCACTAAGTTGCTTTAGGGACTTGCTATGTTGCAGAGGCTGGTTTTGAACTTGCTATCCTCTTGCCTGGGTCTCCCAAGCCTCTGGGATTACAGGCTAGCAATGGCATGCCTGGCAAAGATATGAATACTTTAAAACCTCAATACCTGAATGCCTAATTGCCCTCTTAATCAGATGTATTACAATCAGTACAATGAGCACTTATTTAAACTTAATCTCGCCCCATTATTTTTCTATCTTTTCTTATTTGCTTTGCAAAATTTAGTGACTTTTAAAGATTCTTTCATTAATCAAGTTTAGAAAGCATTTCACAGTTAAGTATGCACTTACTTTACAACCTGGTAATCCTACTCTTATTAATTTACTCATGAGACATGATAATATACACTTACAAAGACCTGTGAAGTTCTGGAGTGGAAACAACTTAAATGTTCATCAGCTGATGAATAGATAAAAAAAAAATGGAGTTTACCCACATTATGGAAATTTTTCAGTAATCCAGTGTAACTTAACTCAAGATACAAAAACATATGAACTTAAAAGCAATGTACTACATGAAAAAATCCGGACACAAAGACACCTTCTGTATGCAGGATTCCATCTACATGAAATTCTAAAAAACATAATACTTCAGTGACAGGAGGCAGGTCACTGGTGGCCTGTGGCCAAGTGAAAGACAAGGGGACCTACCAGAAAGTGTCTTGAGAATACTTTCTTGGGTGACAGAGCTGCACCTTGGTGTGGCACTGGGCACATGACTATGCACTGTCACCAACACTCACCACTCTATACTTGGCTTGGATGAATTTATTGTGTGAAAATTACACCTCAGTGGAGCTGAGGGGGCATTCTGAGCTGTGGGTGGTCTAAAAATACTACTTGATTCTAGAGTCACAAAAGAAGCCAAATTAGACCTGCAAAATAAATAAATGAATATGTGAAGCTGAAAAAAACAGAAACAGAACCAAAAATAATTTTGGAATGCTTGAGAAAATTAGCATACTGCAGGCTAGAAAAAAAATCAAAACAAGCAAAGACTAGATGTTTAGGAAATTGTGGGACAAAATATCTTTACTTCGTGCCTATTTCCTTTCAGTTCTTGTATGTATTCATACATATTCTATGTAAGTATAATTATAAGATATATATGAATTTAGATAGATAGATAGATAGATAGATAGATAAAGATAGTTTTTATTTTGCTTTGTTTTTTGTGTGGCTAAACCTTGATTCTAGGGGTAGGCCTTGCTCTACCACTGAGCAATTATGCAGCCATGTACATTAATATCTTAAAACATTTCTGGATCACAAGCACTTGACTTTATGTGTATATTGTCCTCATGGTTATAATTTAAAATAGTTACATGTGATTGTTCAAAGCCAGAACTATTAGTGAAATTACTGGCTTAAAGCATATGAACATCAATGTTAGGATGCCACCAAGTGGATAAATGGTGTAAGGTTCAATTCAAGTGGATAAAACAGAAATGTTACATGTCATTTGAATTTTTAAATTTAACACTTAAAATTAACTTTAAAACAGAGTAAGAAAGGAAAATCACACCATTTTATAAGTTCACTAGACCATGATTTTCATTTATTTCTTGAAGAAATTTAATTCTCAAATCAGAATCTAGAGAAATTCAGGAAAACAGCTGAGGTGTTTATAAACTAAAGCCCCGGGAATAAATGTTGACCTGGGTATACCTTGAGCCCCAGTGCAAAGAATAAAATAAGGACCCCCAATTGTACACAGCCTTTGCTCTGAGACAACTAAATGACTTCTAACAAAATAAGCAGCCCCCTCAGGAAGCTCTGTGGGGCAGACCCAGTGAAGACAGCCTGGAGGCAGAGGACAGCAGGGAGTCCACCTCCATTTGGGTGGGAACTTGCCAACTCTGTGGGAGCTACCAGTATTCTCTCCCCACGGTCCCTGGCCTCCCCATTGCAAGCCTTAACCATTGCATTGGAACAGTAACTGGCTGGAGCCACACTCCCAAGAAAACAAGACTTCAAGAGAGTGTTGGCCTGGGTCAGCAAAACAATAACTCTTTCCCAGGAAAGCTCTGGAATTACCCTGAGCCTTTGCTGCCACCCAGCGGGAGACCAGCACACACTCCATCCTGCCTGTGGCCCAACACTCCTCCCAGTTATTTATTTTGGGATTTTTTCCCCACCCTGTTCCTTGCTCATTTAGAGCTCACAACCTCCATAGACTGAAAAGGAACCGTTAAAAATCAAGCAAAGGAGTTTGCCATGAAAGGAGCTCTTAGAGTTCCCTTCCACACTCCTGAGTGTGTAAGGCAAGAAGGCCTGAGGGATGGAACTTGCCTTGCTGAGACAGGAGTTTCAAAAGCCAGGGCTTTTATTGTGGGGAGTTAGAGAGCGTAACTTCTACTGGCTGAAGTGTGTGTGCTCCTCCATCTGTTTCAGCTTTAATTCTATTTCTTCACTGAAAAACCACTTCTGATTTTAAAAATTCCCATGGCACAAAAGGGCGAACTGTAAAAAGTCTCCTTTAAACTGCTTCTGCTGGCTGACAAGAACCTTTCCCAGAGGCAACTACTCATTTCTTGTGAGATTCTAGCATAAATATTTTGTGCATAGGCCAAAAGCGACATCTATCCAATCTCCCCATATATACATTCTATACCATCACCCCTGACCATTGGCAAACTACCACAACTGATGTGATATCATTAATAATGCAATATTTTATGGAATTTATGCCATGTTAGTACATTCATTTTTAAGTTTTATCATCCTCTATCACATGGGTGACCCCTAAGGTATTTAAGGAGTGTCTTATTAAAATGGACATTAGCTTGTTTCTAATCTTGTGCAGTTATCATCTTTATCTTCTTACCTAAAATTCTCAGGGCAAATTTGATTGCTGCTTCTACTGGATCTGAATCCACAACTTCATCTAGAATGCCCAGCTTAAGTGCTTCATCCGCCAAAATGTGTCTCCCTAAAACAAAACAAAATAAAGCAAATCAAAGAGTGATGTGAGATTAAAGTGGGAGCCCTGCTGTCTTCCCCAGATATAAACATCTGCTATTAAGAGAAAAGAACAAGGACCCTTGATGGCTGGAGTTGAAACATCATGCAGATGTAGCCAGAGACCTTGGATTCAGGGTGCAGCCCCACATTTCCTGTTTTTGTGACCAGGAGGATGTGCACCGGGAACACAATTTCCTCACCGATCAATAGGAATAATTATGCTTATCTCAGTAATTCTGAGTATTAGGGTGAAAATCATATAATCTATTCTCTTAATAGTCTCTAAATAACTATAGAAGCACTTTACAACCTACAAATCTCTATAGAAATATAGAAGATGGTGACTGTTGGATAAAATTAATAGAAGTGGCAGCAGCACTACTATCTATCTTGTACCTACCACACACCAGGACTGAAGTTGGTTTACAAAATGGTCACCAAACACACATGTAGTTGAGTAGATAGGGGAAAAAAAAAAAGTACTATATCAATTAAATCGATGTTATATAGGTCTAATGAAAGTTACACAGGACAAATGGTATAGTATTCCAATAGTTATTGGCTACCAAGACTCTCCACCCTTCCTTGGTTTGTAGAATATATTTTATGTGGTTGGGAGCCCTGGCTCCTACTATGTAAGCTGAAAAGAAAGCAGAGCTGAGAGGTAATTGCTCTTCTAGTCCCAAGAAGCAATGGTGAAACAAGTGCTCTGTTGAGGGTCTGAATCAGTCTGGTGTCAATGACACTAAGCAATAGCGACAGTTTAAATCTCACCTCACAGGTGGCAACACTGGGTGTCAGGAGTGGCAGTGCTAGCAACCTGCTGTGTTCAGGGTCATCTTGGCAGCCTCAGTATGGAAAGTCAAGGGAGTTACAGAAGTTTATCAGGGTTTGCATCACTAAAGATCTGTCCTGGCAGTTCTTTATCTTTGTCATCTGATGTGCATATTCTGAAGCGGGGTTTGTGGCCTTAAGCACAGGGCCAGTAAGAAGGAGACAGTGACAAAGCATTTGCGTACTTGCAACTTTGGAAAAGGGTTCATCAAATCAGTCTTGGTGGCAATAATTCCTGGGTCTTCCCTGCCCTTCACGTGTTGGTAGATGCCGCCTCTACAACAAAAACCTCCATTCCTGGGTCCCGTGAGTTCTTCAGAGAGCTACAAATGGGTTTTCGTGACCAGGTGAACAGTTCAGTGATTTTCCAGGGTTCCTGCTGGAAATCGGTCTTGGGGCACTTTTCTGGAAGTGCCTTGAAAGCAGGCTTCCAGATCCTCTCCTGCAGTGTGGAGCGGGTGTGGAGTAGGTGAGTGGTGTCAGGGGTCAAGTGTTCCATGTACACAGTTACTTGGGTAAAGGTTAAGTAAATCAACCTAACCAGGTTAAGGGCTCTGAGGGGACATAAATGGAAGATGGAAACCTGGATGCTAAAAGGATCTCTAGGACAGCAAAGCAGGGGAATGTGAGCCACCCACAAATAGAATGAAAAGCTCTTCATCTGTACTGATTTCTTCTGGCTTTAATTTCATGAAAAAGAGAGTACCACTGCTGTTCTTCCAGTGTCAATCACGTTCCAAGCATGCTTATTCTGTTTCAAAGAACAAATGTAACAGTGGTCCACTTTATGCTTTGAATATAGCCCTTGCTGCTCTGCCACTGCAGTTTATTTTTATTTTATTATTTTTTTTAGTTGATGATAGACATTTATTTTATTTATTTATATGTGGTGCTGAGAATCAAACCCAGTGCCTCCCACATGCTAGGCAAGTGCACCAGCACTGTGCCCCAGCCCCAGCCCTACAGTTTATTTTTATAATGGACTGTTTCTTTTTCTTCCTCTCTCCCTGCTCCTCCCTAATCTCTCCCTATCCCTAATCTCAGGAGGGACAGGATTACCTTTCTTCCCCATTTTAAGCAGATTTATCTTCTCTGGATAGGAAAAACCAATGCAGACTTTGGGGATGGTACCAGAAGATATCAGAAATAACTGATATCTCCCAAATTAACAAGTGAAATTATAGCTCCAACAGAGAACATGTGGAATGTAGCATTTGAGTCACCTCTTTAAAAGTTCCCTGTTCCTGCCGATGGGCAGAATCACACAGCCTTTCAGACAGGAGTCCCCTGTGTTTCTCCTTTGCTAACAAAGCAATAAACATTTTTCCTTTTTCTCAAAACTGTGTCCTCATTATTGGATTGGCATTAGGGACAAGGACCAAGCTTTCAGCAACACTAAGGACTTAAGATGTGCAAATCAAATCCTCAGGCTGTGCTTTAAACTTGTTTTTCCTTGGGCAGCCCTCAGTGTAGATTGAAAGGACACCCACAGAGTCCATGCAAAGTCCAGAGATCACACCACACACTGGAATCTCATGCAAGAGATTTATTGTCAGTAGCATGAAGCAAACCGACATGGCTGGCCTTTGAGGAGAGCAGCAGTGTGTCAACCCTCAAAGAGCAGCTTTATAGCCCACAGAGGAATTTCATAAGCTGCTTAGGAGTTGTGTTGTAAACCGGGGTGGGGTTGATCATTCAGCAGGCACGTGTTCTTATGGGAAGTTAAGCAGCATTGCCTTAGAATCAAAACTTTGGAGCCTCTAGATAAAATGGCTCCCAGCCTAAAATGGCAAATCTGATGCCAATATAGTTAACAACCCTTGTCCAACAGGCTCCAAGAAGAGCTCTGTGTAGGTCAATGTCAGGAGATCCCATGGCAACTGAGTTAGAAAACATTCTCTTCAAGCCAGAGAATCTCAAATTTTTCCTGTTTTCTTCATCACTTCTTTTCCAAACTTTACATATTTTTTTTCTTCATGGAAACTTCCCAGATGTCAATCATAAGTTTCCCTGAAATTATACAGTCTACTCAAAAAGACAGGTGTATGATTCTAATGGTAGCTTTCTTTTAATTCACTGTGACCTTTTCTATGCAAATCAAAAAATCTGTCACCTTCTTGCTGTTTTTACTTGTTCTTCATCATGTTAAATATGGTGGCATTTCTTGAAGCAGTGCTTTAAGAATAGAACAATTGTAGTTTGCTTCATTTCTTCTTATCAAAGAAGCCAGTTTTTTTTTCCTGATTTTCCCTAAGATATATCATCTTTCAGACCAATTACTGAAAACAGGGTCACAAAATTCTTTAATGTTCCCCTATATGCTTAATTCAGTAAACTTTAGGATTTACAGACTCATTTCACACCATTGCAACTCTTGATATATTTCATGCTGCTTTGTTTCCTTTCTGTTTTGTCTTTTGCACAATAAACTCTGTCATGGGCTGTGAATTTCTCTAGTATGTTGGATTTGAGCATCCTCTGAAGAATTCTAAATCAGACACTTAAAAATGACTCACATTATTTAAAATGTACTTATCATTGTAAATTAAAACAATTTTCATTAGATTTTTAAAATAAATGTAATACTTCAGTTTTTCTAAGTCTCCTCTCATAGTCTATAGAACTTATAACACCACCTCATCTAAAACAACAAAGCTATTTTAATGCATATAGAATCACATTATTTTTGATATTGTCTCATATGCAGTTTTTATATCACAGTCTCTTTGTCAACACATACAGATATCTATTAGCAATTCTCAAACACTGCAGTCTTAGAACCCCTATGCATTCTTATATATTATAAAGAATTCCAAAATCCTATTGTTTATATAGGTTATATCTATCAATATTTACTGTATTAGGAATTAAAATTGAGAATTTAAAAAAATGTTTATATATTAAATAATTTTAAAATAATAGTGATAAATTCATTATAGTTTAACATATCTTTAGGCAAAATAAATAATTTTTTTTAATTTAATAATTTGCTCTTTTTTCTCATACATTCTTCAGGGTCAGTCTACTACTAAGATTTTCATCTTAATTTTACTCAGAAAAAAAGATATATATGAATAACAGTAAACAGCTAAGTTCTGTCATATCTAGGAGGGTTTTAAGCACACTGTATGTATTAACCTACCTAGTGTTCACCACCACATCACCCCTACTATTAAATGCATGTTTGGGAAATCTAAGGAAAAGAAAGATAAATTGCCTAACATAGGATCTCATAATTAATTATACTTGTTTAGAGTAAATTCAGGTTTGTCTTACAAACCTGAATATTTGGTAAATCTAGAAGGGGGTGGACAGTTACTGCTTAAGGATACCAAGTTTCTTTTTTGTGCTGATTTAGTGTTATATTATTCATAATCCCTATTTAAAAAGAAAAATTTCCACTTGTAGCTAATATCTTAATACTTGAGAAATAAAAATTTGTTATTTGTAAAGTAAAACTTCAAACCTTGCCTTGAAAATTTTGATTTTCAATCTTTTCTTTAAAAAAAACTTATTATGAATTTTTTATACTTTTATTGTATTTACTTACTTTTATGTGATGTCGCACACATTCTGGGCAAGTGTTCTACCACTGAGCCAGAACCCCAGCCCTTTGAATCTTATTATTATTAAAATTTCTAAACAAGATCTGAATATAATGTTCCCTATGTGAACAGCAATAATTCAACAAACTATAATACAACTCTAAATTTGATTAGTGCTTTGCATATACTTTCCTTCCATGATTTGCACATGGGATCATTATAGTAACATCTGAGAAGCTGTCAAGAGAAATACTGTTTCCATTTTATAGATGAGAAAATTTGAAGACAAAGTTAAACTGTCCCCTTAAGGTTATATAGTAGCTACTGGCCAGGCCAGGATTTTCCTAAATGCTGGTCCAGTTCCTCAGGTTGGTCTAGACAGTCACAGGCAAGGTTTACACTGACCTGATGTAATTAAGTCAAGTGCAGCAGGAATTCCAATGAGTCTGGGGAGAAGCTGGGTTCCTCTTGCACCAGGAAGAATTCCTAGTGTGACTTCTGGGAAGCCAATATGAGCCTATCAGATTGAAGGCCGACAATGAGGTAATACATTCATATCTAAGATTAACAACCCCTGTATTTCCTATACCCCCCAAAACATTGTTTAATTGGATTCAGCAAGAATTTCCACCGGGCAAACTAAAATATATGCTCTCCTTTAATTAACAGCATAACCAGAGCTGTTCTAAGTCTTCATGCTTAAACATACTTCTAGCTCTGGCACATTTTTTTAGTCAATTATGACCTGTCTCAGACAACAAAATTTTAATATCCTTCAGGAAAAGCTTTCTGGGAACTTGCAAGAGCCAGGAAGCATAGGTAAAGGAAAAGGAAACTCACAGAATGGGAGAGAGTATTGGCAGATTATAGATCTGATATAGGACTTGTATCCAGAGTACACAAAGAAATTTCATAACTCCAAATAAAAAGACAACCAATTAAAACTGGACAAAGGATCTCTCTAAAGAAGGGATAAAATGCCCAATCAACACATGAAAAGATGCTCAATATCATTAACTATCAGGGAAATGCAAACCTAAAGCACAATGAGATACAACTTGACACCCATTAGTATGAATTCAAGAAAAAAGGCAGACAATATGGAGAAGACAGAACACTCATACATGGATGACAAAAAGGTAAAATGTGCAGAAATTTTGGAAAACAATTTGGCAATTTCTCAAAAGTTAAACGTGGATTTATCATGTGACCCAGCAAGGTCATGTAGTATAAACCCAAGGGCAATGAACACATAAGCCCACAAAAATCTCTTAATGGTGTTTTCAAAGCATCATTGTTCTTAAAAAACAAAAAAAATAGAAGCAACTGAAACATCCATCAACTGATGAATGGATAAATAAAATGTGGTATAGCCATACAACAGAATATTATTCAATACTAGAGAGGAACAATGAACTGATTTTTGCCACCATATGGATGAACCATAAAAGCATTATGCTAAATGAAAGAAACCAGTCATGAAAGACCACATATTGTATGAACTCATTTATATCAACTACCTAGAATAGGCAGAAAGGCAAAATTAACACCTTCCCAGGTAAATAAAAACTGAATTCATTGCTAGCAGTCCAATCCTACAACAAATCCTTTCAGCTGGTATGAAAGGATACTAGATAGTAACTAGAATTTACATGAAGAAACAAAGGACTCTGATTAAGCACAGCTATGTAGATAAACATAAAAGACAGTGCTAACACTTCTTTGTTTGCAATCCATTTTTATCCTCAAATTTAAAAGATCACTACAAAAAACAATACGCATAAACATACTAATGAACATCCAATGCATAAATTTATAATTTGGGACAGTAACTGCATAAAGGGGTGGGTAATAGCAATAGTGGAGAAAATATTTACATACTATTGAAAAGGAGTTAATATAAATCTGAGCTAGACTGTTATAAATTAGGATATTAGTTACAATCACTAAGGCCATCACCACTAAGAATATAACTCAAAAGAATACATTAAAAGATATCAGAGGACAATTAACAGGACACACTAGAAAAATACCTGTTAATCACAAGTGACAGTATCAACCAAAGAACTAAGGAACAAAGACATAAAATGCAGAAAACAAAGAGAAAAATGTCATAAGTTAATTTTTCTATATCAGTAAATATAGTAAATGTAAGCATATATTAAACTCTTTAATTTAAATGTAGAGATGGAGCAAGGGATATGGCTCAGTGGTAGAGCACCTTCCTAGGAATGCTTAGGACCTGGGTTCATCCACTGTAATGTGTGTGCATGCACACACACACATACATACACACGCACACACACATCCAACCCCTCAATTAAAAAAAAAAAAAACAGAAAACAAGGCAGGATAAAGAATGTTTAATAATAAAATAAATATGATATCAATATATTTGTAATAGAGTATAAACCACATATAATAAAATCCCAATGTTATTTTTTGTGTGTGTCAAGGGAGGATAGACTATAAAAAAAATTACATAGGGAAAAAACCTGTAGGAAGTAAAAAAGAATGGAGTTTCCCTTTAGTTAGTGGATCCTGGAGAGATTAAGGGAAGCAAAGAGACAGAAGGCTCAGAGCAGCGGCTATTTACCAACCAGAATGCAAGTATTTCATCCCCCAAACAATAGCTGGACCCCTACAGGACAGCTCAGCACCAGTGCTGGAGATACCCAGGACTTGTAACCAGAGAGCTAACCATTCAAAATGTCCACCTCTGATGCTCATGGCTACAGTTAGAACTTTCCCTAGAGAAAAGCCCCACACCAACCTCCACATCGAGGCTCAGCTGTTACCTCTGCGTGAGCAATCCTATAGTGACAGCCCAAGGCCAGCTCCAGTCCCCCTCCTAAGGCCACACCTTGGATAGCGGCTACCACGGGCTTCTGATATCTCTGTAATTCATCTACTAAACTTCCCAAATCAAAGCCAGAGAATCCAGGAGTGCTGAAGCTGTGGATATCCACACCTACAGGACATAAAGACAAGGAGAAAAGATGGCTGAGAAGGATACATGCTTCTGTTATTAATATGTAGGGACCTGATCACCTTGAGATCTCTTTGGGCCCAGGAGACACTTTGTCCTCAGGCTGGACACACATGAAACAAGTAGCTTGAGAGATGCAGAACAAAATGAGATCTTTAAATATCTTCCATGAACCCTGTAACAGTCTAAGATCTTTCTTTCCACATACTACCTAGCAATTCTAGCTCTAGGCAAATTTAAAATATCAGAGAAGGAACACAGGGGTCTCCACCCAAGACCATCATTCTGAGACTGAGTTGGCCTCTGGTTTTTTGCATTATCTGTTTATCAATCTTATTCACAGAAGTTTAGTCTCTTATCTTTGCTAATATTATGAGCCATAATACAAAATGTCAGGGTACAATGTATACATATTTGTGAGCTGTGTTAATTGACTGGCTTAGAATTATACCTTGATAGATTTTTTTATGATTGGTGAAAATAACAATATTTCTTGCTTTTCCTGATTATAAAAATAACACATGCATTTTGGGAAGTTGAAAAATGTACAGAATTATAAAGAACATATGGATCACCCTAAATATCACCACACAGAAATAATAATTTAAGACTTGGCAAATTCTTAGTCTTTTCCCTATGAATATGTGTAATTGGTTTTATGACATTAAGTAAGTTATTGAATCTTTTGTCTCATGACCTATCTTAAATGACTGATGTGAGAATTAAGTAAAGGTTGATAAATATATTTATTATTGAAAGAATACTGTAAAATCTTAAAAATTATCATAAACTCTTTTTATATAATTTTTTAATTTATATATGACAGCAGAAAGCATTACAATTCATATTACATATATAGAGCATAATTTTTCATATCTCTGGTTGTATACATAGTATATTCACACCAATTCGTGTCTTCATACCTGTACTTTGGATAGTAAAGATCATCACATTCCACCATCATTTCTAATCCCATACCCGCTCCCTTCCCCTCCAACCCATCTGCCCTATCTAGAGTTTGTCTATTCCTCCCATGCTCCCACTCCCTACCCCACTATGAATCAGCCTCATTATATCAGATAAACATTCGAAATTTGGTTTTGGGGGATTGGCTAATTTCACTTAGCATAATCTGCTCCAACTTCATCCATTTACCTGCAAATGCCATGATTTTATTCTCTTTTATTGCCAAGTAATATTCCATTGGGTATAAATGCCACATTTTTTAATCCATTCATCTACTGAAGGGCATCTAGGTTGGTTCCACAATTTAGCTACTGTGAATTGTGCTGCTATAAACATTGATGTGGCTGTGTCCCTGTACTATGCTGTTTTTAAGTCCTTTGGGTATAGACCAAGGAGAGGGATAGCTGGGTCAAATGGTGGTTCCATTCCCAATTTTCCAAGAAATCTCCATATTGCTTTCTATCTTGGCTGCACCAATTTGCAGTCCCACCAGCAATGTATGAGTGTACATTTTTCCCCACATCCTTGCCAGCACTTATTGTTGTTTGTCTTCATAATAGCTGCCATTCTGATTGGAGTGAGATGAAATCTTAAGAGTAGTTTTGATTTGCATTTCTTTAATTGCTAGAGATGTTGAACTTTTTTATATATTTGTTAATTGATTGCATATCATCTTTTGAGAAGTGTCTGTTCAGGTCTTTGGCCCATTTATTGATTGGGTTATTATTTTTTTTTTGGTGTTTAGTTTTTTTAGTTCTTTATATACCTTAGAGATTAATGCTCTATCTGATGTGTGAGAGGTAAAAATTGGCTCCCAAGATGTAGGCTCTCTAATTACCTCACAGATTGTTTATTTTGCTGAGAAGAAACTTTTTTGTTTGAATCCATCCCATTTATTGATTCTTGATTTAATTCTTGCACTATAGGAGTCTAATTAAGGAAGTTGGGGCCTAATCCCTCATGATGCAGATTAGGGTCTACTTTTTCTTTTATTAGACGCAGGGTTCCCTGGTTTTATTCCTAGGTTCTTGATCCATTTTGAATTGAGTTTTGTGCATGGTGAGAGAGAGAGGGGTTTAGTTTCATTTTGTTGCATATGGATTTCTTTTTTCTTTTTGGTGCTGGAGTGTAAACCCAAGGCCTGGAGAACATGAAACAGTATTCTATCACTGGCTATACCTAAGCCTAAGACAAACTTTGATGATCCAGGCCTTCCTTGCTCAGTATTTTTTTTTTTCAGTATTGGAGATGGAACCAAGGATACTTTACTATTGAGTTAAACCCCTACCCCTTTTTATCTTTTACCTTGAGGCAGCGTCTCACTCATTTGCTAAGACTGGTATCGAACTTGCCATCCTCCTGCCTTAGCCTCCCAAGTACTTAGGACCTGCTTAATTTTTGTACATGTATTTAAGAAAAACACATATTTTCCAATGTTTGGGTACACTATACTAGACCTTTCCATTATGTTAACTTTGAGAATTTCTAATGTTCTTCTAGAAGAATAATTTTTTTCTGCTCACAAATTCTAATTACTTTCTGTATTTTCCACCTCTTTCTCTTTTTTAACATTTATTTTTTAGTTGTAGTTGGACACAATACCTTTATTTTATTGATTTATATGTGCTGCTGAGGATCGAACCCAGGGCCCCGCACATGTTAGGCAAATGCTCTATCACTGAGCCACCACCCCAGCCCCTTTCACCTCTTTCTTACAATAAAATATAAAGTTCTCATAATTCTGATCTCACTTTTTGTGCCCCAAAGTCATCATGTTAGCTGCCCATCAGGTATAAGTGTCCAGGGCTGGAGGCATAGCTCAGTGATAGAGTGCTTCGCCTAGCACGTGTGAGGCACTGGGTTCAACCCTCAGCACCATCAAAATAAATAAATAAATAAAAAGAAGATTTTTAAAAAAGTTTAAGTATACAGTGAGTAAGCCATTTCACAGCTAGTCAATGCTCACCTCACCCTCCTCATCTGTAAATGGGGAGTGTAGGATTTACTCAGCTTAAAATATAACAAGTAAACACTACTACTATCTTCATTATAATTAATAAATAACTTACATAGCCCTAGTAGGAAAAATTCACCAAACCTTAATATCCATGTGCCTTTTGTCAAATAATTCCATATATACATTGGGGAAAAAAGGAAGAGGTGCTATATCATTGAATAAATCACCACTTCAGATATTATTGCCACATCTGAGCATCTTCAGACAATGACCCAATAAAGCAGTGCCACAGGCACTGAGGTAGGTGCCCACCAGAAGGAAAAAGAACTTCATTTCAAGACTATATGTGAACAGTAACCCTTGCTGATCACCTTCTGTGTGTAGATGCTGTATGAAGAGAGTTCAGAGAAGGCATCTCACTGGACCTTTCAAACACCCCTAACATAGACATTACTGTCCCTACTTCATAGATAAAGAAGTTGATGTTCAGGAGATTATGGAGATAGGGTGGAGATGTACAAAGCCAGTATATGCATCAGCATGTGTATAGCAGCAGGTGTCACGGCCATCAAGCCTGAACGTTCACCAAAGTCTCAACTCAATAAAAAAGAGACAAAGCCAGAGTCTTCTCTGGGTCTCACTTGGGATCTGTCCCTTTCTCCACAGTGTTTCTCAGTCCCACTCTAGTCTCCCGTATCTAACACACACATTACTTTATTTCTCATATTATTACCTAGAGGGACAGCTAATGCAGTGTGGATCTCAGTCTGTGACTAGATTCTATAGATAATGGGAGAGTGTCAGACAAGTGTTACCTGCACAGAATATTCCATTTTCTCCAGATATCACAATGGCTTTTACTGTATGGTCGGATATGGCTTTCTTTAGTCCCTCTTTTATTCCATTGAATACAGCCAAACTAAAAGAAAAAAATTTACATGATGCAAATTATTCATAATTAAAGTTCTGCCGTCTCAGAGTTTTTCCTTTCTTAATCCTAAAAAATTAATCACATGCACGTTGTATAAAAGCCGTAGAAACTTACCATTAAGGCTTTCACTAATTTTTTCATCATACAATATGTCTACTGTGAATTAAGCAGTGAGCGAATTAAATGAGTCCCCTTGAAAAGTAATATTATTTTCTTCCACTCTGCTCTAATGTTAACCACTTAGAATCAGCACTAACCAATTTTAATATATTCTTACGCTTAATATAGAAAAGTGCAAGGGATTACCTGATAAACCTATACAACTATCATGTAAGGTGCAGTAAGGTAAGTGCTACACTAAAAGTACAAAGAAAATGATGGGGGTGCTGCGATTGTGGCTCAGTGGTAAAGCACTTGCCTAGCATAAGTGAGGCACTGGGTTCAATTCTCAGCACTGTATATAAATAAATAAAATAAAGTCCATTGACAACAAGTAAATATTTAAAAAAAAAAAGTGGTGGGGAAGTTCAAAGGCAAGCATGTTACTTTTAATTTGCCATGCTGACAGAAACAGAAGGAAAATAGCAGAGAAATGGCCCAGGAGATGTGGCAGAAGCTGCTAGTTACCTCAGCTACCCATTCCTCCAGATTATGAAAATGCCTACATTTGAAGAGAATACATGATACCCCCCCAAAAGACTACATTTTCCACCCTGCTTTAAGTAAGTTCTGTTCAAGGCTTTAAGTTCTGGTCAATTAGATGGAATTATATTTATGCGATTTGGGGGAAGAGTTCCTAAAGGACTAGGTATGCTTTCCTCTTTTTTTCTTCCCTCCCTTTTCTTGACAGAAAGGCAGATGTGATAACTAGATGAGAAGCAGCCTTATTGGACCAACAGGTAGAAGTCAAGTATTGAGGATAACAGAGCAAAAGAGAGAATTGGGGGGATGAATGTTTGTGGAGTATCAATACCATTCCAGGATACTGCTGTTGAGAGAAAATTTTTGCTTGTTTAATTCATTATTACTATCAGTTTTCTACCACTAAAATTTGATCCAATCCTAGATAATTTAAGGTATAAAGGCAATGTGAGGGCATGTAGAGCAAAATTTGCCAAATTTCGGTATATGAGGAAGTCATCCAGAGAAGACAGATAAAGCCAAGATTGGATGAGTCCACTAAATGAAAACCAATGTAAACTGAGGGCAAATTCTCTGGATATGTCTTCATTTAAGACACAGGGGGTCCTAGCACAGTGATCCAGCACCAGTGAAACCTAATTCATAAAGATCAAGGAGAGGAAGTTTTCCATAAATCACATGATTAATAGGGCCAAGAGATCTAGCAAGGGAGAACTACAAAACATAGTAAAAAACTGCCTAAAAAAATTGATAGAAGCAGACCATAATCAGTTTTGCCTTAAAATTCTCCATATTTTGGGTAATCTCTGTATACAGAGTGAAAACAATCTTAAAACAAACAACAAACCTCTGTAAACCCCTTATTGTTAAAACCAGCAACTATGAGTTAAAACCTCAGAGCATAAAAGAGATACTTGCTCTCTTGTATGATAATTATCTTCTACTTCCTTAATTTTCACCTCTTAACCTAGATGAAGTCAAACAATACCACTTGTTTTCCACCAGTTAATTAAAAGTCACATCTGACCATGAAAACAGATACTACACCATTATGCAATATTGAAAAATCCATAAGGCATATGCAGTTCTCTTGGTGTCTATGGAAAACTGGTACCAAGAACTACCCACCCCAACTAGAATACCAAATTTCTCATATGCTTAGTCCCTTATATAAAATAATGGTAGGATTTGTACATAACCTACTCATCTCTAGACTACTTAGTATACCCAACAAAATGTAAATGCTATGTAAATACATATTATACCACATTGTTCAGGAAATAATGATAAGAAGAAAAAGACTACATGTTTATTAGAGACTCAACCATCACGTACCAAAGAACATTTTCTATCCACAGTTGAATGGCAGGGGATATAGAGAGCTGACTGTATTTTCTTCTGGGTTAAAGGATGACCACAAAATGAGCCAAAATCATCTTCATCATGGTCACTGAGGAAAGAAGACTAGCTTTTCTCATTCCAATCAAGCCTTCCTGTTTTATTTATGCTCTTGTTAATTTTGAAAAACTCAAAAAACAGGGGGAGGGGCTAGGACTATGGCTCAGTGGTAGTACATGTGCCTGGCATATGTGAAGCACTGGGTTCTATTCTCAGCACTATATATAAATAAATTAAATAAAGGTCTATCAACTACTAAAAATATATATTTAAGGAAAATGGCTGTAACAGACAGTTTTACTAGATTCTGCTGACTGAAGGGACCACAGCTTCCCTGTAAGGTAAAGGTCACATGGGCTAAGAAAGTATTTTCTCCATCTTAACACAGCCAGGTGTGGAGCATGGAGTGTGGGGGAAGATGACATTCCTGAGTGCTGACCAGGAGGCTTCAGGTTCTTTGTCAGAGTAGGTCTTGGCCTTTTCTCACACCCCTCCCTCCCTCCCTCCCTCCCTCCCTCTCTCTCTCTCTCTCTCTCTCCAAAGTTCATCAAATCAATTAGTGGCTTGTTACCAGCTTTTTTTCTTTTCTTTTCTTTCTTCCTTTCTTTTTTTTTTAATATTTATTTTTTAGGTGTAGATGGACACAACACAATGCCTTTATTTTTAATGTGGTGCTGAGGATCGAATCCGGGTCCTGCCCATGCTAGGCGAGTGCTCTACCGCTGAGCCACAATCCCAGCCCCCCTTTCTTTTTTTTTAAGAAAGAAAATAGAATTTCCCCAATTATATACTATGAAAGGATAGGACTAGTTTCAGGAAACTTTCTTTTCTGTTTTGCATGTGCAGGCAGGTATACATATCTTGAGTCCTGTACAACATGAGATTTCTTACAGCCATTGTTCTGGGTAAATTTGGGGTCATCTCTGTTCTCTGTAATGAATAGGCCTAATATTTATGCACATCCTACACTCAATGGATGGGGCTGACACCAAAATAAGGAAACATGGCTGGCTAAATTAGAAATTATATTTAAATTGAGCAAAAAAAATTGTTATTCAAATAAGAAACAGTGAGTCTGGAAGAAAAAACTTCCAAAAAAAAGACCTGTTAAACTTGGTGAACACCAGCATGTATACCCTAACTAAAATAAAAGGTCAGAGAAAGACAAATGAGTAAGGACAGGAAAGGATTTGTTCCCAAATGGAGTAATTTTTGATAAAACAGAAGTGGATCCTGGGCATCAGGTCTGCTGACAAGGGCTTGTAACAGGCCTTCTCACTAACAGGAAGTTTAAAACCTTCATATCATTTAATCCTCACAACTATATATATTTTTTTATTTTTTGTGATTGAATCCAGGGGTGCTCTACCAGTGAGCTGCAACCTCACTCATTTTTTAAATTTTGTTTTGAGACAAGGTCTCACTAAGTTGTTGAGGTTAGCCTCAAACTTGCAAGCCTCCTACCTTAGCCTCCCAAGTAACTGAAACTACAGGCATGAATACTGTGCCTGGCTCCACACAACAACTTTGTGAGGTAAGTATATACATTACTCCTGGGTGGGTAGAGGGGCTGTCAGGTTAAATGCCAGAAATATATCAAGCAGTTATCACAAAACATTGCTAGTTATGAGTATTAGGCTATGAAACCTTTTTCCCCCTAATTTCTTGATGGGAATAGCTGTCCATTATGAGCAGAAACTCCAGTAGCAGCAGAATCCTAATATTTAATAATCCAATCAGTAAGCAGTCCAAAGGGCTATGGAATCATATTACTTACATGTTTGTCAAAACCAACATAATGGATATTTTACATTTTTATGGGAATGACAATTACAGATTTGTGATTTAATTTCTTCTCTTTTTGTATAATTACCTACCTTCAAATTATAAGAAGGGTAATATTAAAACTAAGACTGAAAGTCCAATACAAGGACAATAGGATAAAAGCTCAGTTAAAATTAGCAGGTCTCTTTTCATCTCTATTTGCTCCCGCAACATGTAATGAGAATTTCATCAAAGACCTTTCTATCTATTCATTATATTCTTTGTAAATTATAATTTTCACTAATCTGACTCTCAGAGGATGGGTGGCTTTATTCAGAGATCTAGAAGAACCACACCAAATGAACTTCATCAATTTTCAAACCGGGAGTTTTGGTCTTACTTTTAAAGTAACGCTCTACATGCACTGCAGAAATAAATCAAATTAAATTAAATTAGTTAAAATGTAATCTTTCAGAAACTGCTAACATAGTGGTTACTCGGAATAGATCCTCTAGGGATGCTCTCTGACCCTGAGATTTAGAACAGATCAGGAGAAATAATTTAGTGTTTCCTACCCAGGGACAAATCTCCTTTACTCACTGTGTTGGCATTCACTGGGACTTACTTTATTTTATGTGTCTTTCTATTTTATGTTGGGCCAGGGATGAACCCGGGCCTCACGCATAGTTAGGCAAGTCTCTACCCCAGAGCAAGTCCCTCATCCCTTTTCCTTTATCTAGCCCCTTTACTGTAGGACACTTGGAGCTTTGGATCATGGTCCTGCACTCACCCAAGAACTTTGCAACTGAACGTTTGAGAAGTAGATGTTGCAAGCAAGCAGAAAGGTTTAGCACGCCCCTCTCCACCGCTCAGTTCCATCACTCACAGTTTCCTCCACCCGCTTACCTGGGCAAGCATAACCCAGCCAGTTTAGGTTAAAAGGCCCTGCTGTGAGCCATGGCCCCTACTGTTAGTGTCTTCAGTTTCAACCAGCAGGGAGAGTCAAAGTTTGCAGAGCCACAGACCAGCGACGCTGCGCGCCGAGAGGACGGAGCCCGTTACCTGATCGCGCTGACCGGCGGGTTTCGGAGGCGGATCTGCGCCAGGGAGTGGGGCAGCCGCAAGTACTCAGCCATTTCCCTCTGTTGCCTACGTTGCAGTGCCGCCCGCCCCGAGGCACGGCCAGTTGTGTAGGCGTGCCCGGGCTCCGCCTCCCGCCGCCCCACGGCCTCCTCCAGTCAGCAGTCCAGCTCGCACCCGCTACTCCTTCCCGGGACACCCTACCGTCACCACGCCCCAGCTCTGGCAACGCTCCTAGCCTTGTTTTCTTCGCTGGCTCCTGTCCTGTGGAAGGCGGAATTACCATTCGCTTCGCAAATCCCTAGCGCAGAGGCCAGGGCTCCTCCGTCCAAGTTCTAGCGCTTGGATTTGGCCAAGCTATCCTCATCCCAGTATCCATCCTCACAATCCTTATGAATTGGGACAGGTACCAGGTAGCTGGCGCCCTGACAATTATGTGAAACAGTGCACCCTGGAACTGAGGTAACACACACATCGTGCATGTAACCCACATGAAGAACGGTACTAATATCTCCTAAGTATTTACAAAAATCATCTTCCCTGTCTTACAGAGCAACCTAGCAACGCATTAGGAGCTCCTTGTTTGCCTTCTGTTTTTCTTCTGCGGCTCTTCCCAAGGGCTGGGGTTTCTAATACTTCACCCATTCATCCGGGAATCAAGTACCAATCATGTGCAGGACCTAGGCTGGAGACTAAACAAAGCCCAACCCCTTCCCTCCAAAAGTTCCAGGTGGGGAACTGGCAGAGCGCTTGCATGTGAGGCACTGGGTTCGATCCTCAGCACCACATAAAAATAGATAATAAGACATTGTGTCCATGTATAACTAAAAAAAAGTTAAAAAGAAAAAAAAAAAGTTCCAGGTAGGACATTGCTGTTCTAAATTGTCAAGTAATCAGAAAGTTTTCTGGAAGTTTCCGAGGGGGGAAAAAGTGTGTATATACAGGTACATATGAAAATTTTCTTCACTGATGTTTTATTAATTTTAAAAGGTTTAAGGACTAAAATACATAGGTATTCTTTTACCTATAAAAGTAGAAAAAGGTTCCCATAACTAGAGAAGTAATGGTGGTCCTGAAGCCGTAGTAACCAGTAGCAGTAAGGACCTCATGCAATCTAGCAAGGCCAATAGTTCAATGATCAAAGCCAGCCTTTTAAGGACAGCTAATCTCCAAGAGCTGGGTGTGGTACCTCTGAGAGTCAATAGCCTCATGGAAATAACCAGCTCCTTGGTTGTTTGTACCAATCTCTACCTAATGCCTCTGAAAATGACTACTATCTAAACACCTCTTTGCCAAAAAAAAAAAAAAAAAAGTCTAAGATCAATAGTTTGTTCTGATTGGAGAGAATGTGCACGATCAGTCCAATTCTACTTTCCTACAGAAAGCAATAAATTGAGATTTATCATTCTTCAGATACTAATCTCTAGGGAAACAACTCTGCAGTGGCATCCCAGCAACCTGAGCATCTCCACTAAGTCCACATAGGTAAAGCCAAATAACTCCCAGTGGCCTGATTCCTTCTGCAGTCAGGGAGAGAATCAGCCTGGTGTGGAGCCATCTTGGGGCAGTGACTCATCTCTGTCTTTAGGAGTCTGTCACAGGTCATTTCTCATCTATCTCCCTAGTTTCAGTTGAAGGCAGAACTCTTTGCCTTGCGCTCCCACCTTAGGGTAGAGTTAAATCTATGGTGTAAATCTACAAAACTGTGTGGCAGTTGTTTAAAGTTGCTCCTCAACTGGACAATGACCAAGATGAGACAAATGACGTATCTAGGGGACAAAATTTAAGAGGACACTCACCCTCAGGTTTATGCAACACTGGCCTTGGCCTGTTCCTCCACACAGAGCAATTCACCATTCCTGATATGTTAGTCTCTTTTTTTGGTGTCATGCTGTGGGATTGGGGATATAGGGAGCTAATAGCATGGTGATTTTTATTTTGCTGTTTATGTTAATAATAAACTGTCTATATTCCTGTGGGCTCCTTACATGTTGAGTTCATTGGAAGTATGAAAATCTAACAGCAGGTGCCACTATGTTGCTGCATAATGCTTGCTTGGTCATCGGTATGAGTTGTTGTATTCTTAAATTATCTTCTCATTTAATGTCACGGTACCATGATATTTAATGGGATGCCTTTCCTTTTGGCTGATGTACTTCCATATCATTTGAATGATACTGCTTTTCCTTGTTTCATTGCCTTTATGTTGCATTATATCCCCATTTCACAAAAATAGGCAAAGTGTTCAGAAGTGATTTATTAAAGCTTAAAAAAATAATAAAAGAATGTAAACACTACAACTTAGCATAATACCCAAAGGGTAAGCAGAGAACTGGATTCCAATGCAAATACAGAACCTCTGGATCATGCAAATCTTATTCATAGTAAGAACAGAAATGGCTATGAAACCTACTTTCACCTGCATTGATGATCCATTGGCTCTGGAACCCAGAGTGTTATGTGTGAAACTTCATTTGATAATGACATAAAGGCTTCAAAGCTGACTTCTCTGGTAAACCAATCAGGTTTTCCTGAACCAAACAAAATAATGCTTTCCTGACTCGGTGATAAAATCTCTCACACACTGCTTACCATGCCCTTTACTTCACTGTGAGATACAGATGTACTCAAGGCCCAGGGGAGGACACAGCCACAGATAAAAGAAGCCTGACTTTCCAAATAGTTTGAGGAGGAAGGCTGTTCCCTGACAGCACCAGCATGGACTGTTACAGAACAATATCTAAATTTGGGTTTACTTGTGAAAGAAGTTTAAGCTGTCCTGAGACAACAAACAAAGAGCTGGGAGTTTGCACTTCCAGAACAAAGCTGGCTGACAATTGAGAAAGAAAAAAAAAAAAAAAGTTGCTTACAGAAGTGTTTGAAAGAGAGATGGAATTGAAAAAAGAACTTCTTCACTATACCAATAATATTCATAATGACAACTTGCATCATTTCATTTGGCTCATTCAAGCCTCAACTGTTGAAACTTGGGAGGAGAGAGAGAGAGAGAAAGAGAGAGAGAGAGAGACAGAGAGAGAGAGAGAGAGAGAGACAGAGAGAGAGAGAGAGAGAGAGAGAGAGAACGTACATGATGTGTGGTGTAAAAGACCCACCTGTTGATTATCTTCACTGGGTGAAATAAGGTACAGCTCCATGATGCATTATTGAGCACATTTAAAGATCACACCCATATGCTGCATGCAATAGTCAGATTTCTGTTACTCTAATAAATACCTAAGTTACTTAATGCTAAAAGAGGACAGGTCTAGTTTGACTCTCAGTATTGGAGGTTTCTGTATATGGTTGGCTGTCCCATAGCTGTTGGGCCTGTGGTGATACAAAATGTGCTAATGCAAGTTGCTCACCTCATGTGGCTGGAAAGCATATACAGAGAGAATCAAAGACCAAACCAAATCCCCTTTGGGGAGCTGGGGATGTGACTCAAGCGGTAGCGCTCGCCTGGCAGGCATGTGTGCAGCCCGGGTTTGATTCTCAGCACCTCATACCAACAAAGATGTTGTGTCCGCCGAAAACTAAAAAAAAAAAAAAATCTAAAAACTCTCTCTCTCTCTCTCTTTAAAAAAAAAAAAAAAACAAAAACCCACAAATCCCCTTTGGGGCCATGCCCTCAGTGACTTAAGACTTCCCACTAGGCCCCACCTCTTAAAGGTACAAATACCATAGCTGAGGGTATACCACTGAACTATTCAGTGAGCTTCACTTACCACCTCAGATTTGCAGGTAGTTTTCTATGAGGACATCTCTGATCTCTGTCAGCTTCTAAACTGAAAATCCTGCAGAAAGTGTCCCTTTGCACAGCATGAGCAACTTTTTTTTTTTTTAACCTGGGGGCACTTAACCACTGAGCCACATCTACATCTCTTTTTACATTTAGAGACAAGGTCTTGCTGAATTGCTTAGGGCCTTGCTAAATTGCTGAGGCTGGCTTTGAACTTGTGATCCTCCTGCCCCATCCTCCAGGCAGACACCACTGCTCCCGGAAGCATGAGCAACTTCAATGGCATCTCTGACATTTTCCTGTGTCCATTTTCATTTTGTGTCAAAAGAACCATTAAGCTAGAGTGCACAGATCTTTGTCACAATTTCCCACTATGTTATTTTACTGGAAAGAGAATATTTCATTTACTAGTGGTGATCCCTTTCACTTTTTCTGACAACTAAAACTATTTAGAAAGAGACAACAGAGACATCAGTTTGAGAGATGCCCCAGTTACTTAGTCTGACACTCCTTCTAAAACAGGAATGCTCCAACAATATTCCTAGCACAAGATTACTGGCCCACCTCTGTGTGATTCCTTCCAGTGATTGTGAACCCAGTTCTCTGTGTGATAAACAGTTCTACTTAAATAATGGTTCTGTTCCCTGGGAACTTCCACTCCCTGATTCTTCTTTGGTTTTTAGGAATTATACATTAGTTAATGTATAATTAATAAATCTCCCTTTAATAGTTGTATTTCATCAACTATTTCAAGATGCTAACAAGTCTATCCTAAGCTGTTCTTCTTAGGCTTTTTCTTACATGCTAAAATTTCTTGTATAATAAGGTATTTCCAGTTGGTTCAGGACACTAGCCCAATTTGTCAATGACCCTTTTTACTAGCATCCATTCTCTGTGCATCTATCACCATTCAGTATTATAGTATTCCTGTTCCTTAAGTCTTGTTTTCTCTTTCCTTAACCATAATGACATTTTTCTTTTTAAATTTAAAGCATTGTGAGTTATTTTTTGTACTAGAGACTGAACCTCAGGGGCACTTAACCACTCAGCCACATTCCCAGCCCTTTTTAATATTTTATTTAGAGACAGGGTCTGGCAAAGTTGCTTAAGATATCACTTGGTTACTGAGGCTGGCTTTGAACTCATGATCCTCCTGCCTCAGGCATGTGCCACTATGCTCAACTGTGCTTTGTTTAAATAAAAAGATAATTACATTTTTATTGATATAAAATTCACATACCATGAAATTTTCCCTTTTAAATTGTACAATTGAGTGGTTTTTAGTATGTTAAGTAATGATCATCACTATCTAATTATAAAATGTTTTGATAACTCCAAAAAGAAATCCTAGACCCACAAATCAGTCATATACTATTCCTCTTTCTCCCTATCCCCAGGC